TACATGGAAATGAACGGCACTGCCGCGGCCGATGAAGTAATTGTGGTAGGATATGGTTCACGCAGCAAAAGAATTGTTACAGGATCAATATCAAGTGTGGATATGACCAAACAACCGGAGTTACCTAATACTAATATTACACAGGCACTGAGAGGTAAAGTTGCTGGCATCCAGTTTATCGACAATGGCAGACCGGGCCAGGATGGATCAATACTTATTCGGGGAAGAAATTCTTTAAGTGCAGCCAGTAATCCACTCGTAGTGCTGGATGGTATTATATTTAATGGCAGCTTAACAGATATTAATCCAAATGATATTCAGTCGATAGATATTTTAAAAGATGCAAGCTCCGCCTCTATTTACGGATCAAGAGCTGCAAATGGAGTAATACTCGTCACTTCCAAAAAAGGGATGACGGAAAAACCATCCATCAGGATCAACGCTTTCCAGGGTTTTTCAGACCCTACATATAAAGTTAAACTACTCGATCCCGAAAGATACCTGGAAAGAGTGATAGATTATCGCACACAAACCGGTGTGGAAGCAGATCCTTCAAAGATCGCTACTTATATTACCAAAACAGTGATCGAAGAGTTGCTTTTTCTCGATGAACAAAATCGTAAGATCGGTTTGTTCAAAGATGATCTGAAGGAAATAGATAATTTTATCGAATTGTTTATGTATATTATGCATTTTAACACTGTCTCTTCCGGAAATGGAATGAGTTTTTCTCCCATTCTGGTGAAAAATTCGTGGTCAGTGCATATGGTGTATAATTATGACGATCAGTCTACTTGTCTTTGTTTTTACCACCATACAAGGTGTTCAAAAGAGGCAACTATTACTCATTCGCAATTATATAACAAGAGCTATGTATATAAATATAAATGGAAAGTACCAGGTTTTGTTGAAGGATGTTATCCATTTTGGGGTTTAATAAGATCGCAATTATTCTGTTTATATAATAAATCATGTTTATTTGAATTAATTGATCATCTTGAAGCAACATTTCAGGTAAATATAAGTACATTAAAAGAACATTCGTCTTCATCAATATTCAATTCATCAACATCTATTGGGGAATTACTCTCTAAAATGATGGTTGAACAATGGGATCAAAATATTAGTTATGAAAAGTATTATAAAAAATGTCAACCAAAACAATGTCAATATACATATATAAAAAAATTTCATATAAATTATATGATTTCAACTATTCTTGGTATTACTGGTGGTTTATCGTTATCATTACGAATAATTGTACCATATTTAATTCAATTAATTGAAAATATATGGAAAAAATTCAGAAATAAAGATAATCAAAATAATGATCCAATAGGTATGTTATCATATTTTAGATTTTCTCTTCATATTAGTTTTTTTAATTTTCTTTCTAAGATTGTCGTACACAAATAAAAATCATTTTATCAAAAATTGTTATTTTAATTCAAAATTTCAATTTATTTGAACCTCGATTTGAACGAATACCTTCAATACCAATTTTAGAACATGAAAAACAATTAAAACGAAAATTACAAATTCTATCAACACGTATTTATGCATTTATATTAGTTTTCTTTGCTATTACAATTATCATTTATAGTTCATTACGTAGAACTGCTGAAACAAAAGTATTTTCTATCTCATCATATTCTGATTATCAAAGTTTATTAATTAAATATCCTTTAAATAAATTATCTTGTCCATGTTCATCTTTTACAATTAAATATTCAAATTTTCTTTCAATTAAACCAAAATCAATGCATCCAGCCTGTCATAATCGTATATTTGTTCCAAATTGGACACGATTACGACTTGGTTTTGATCTTGCACCTATTGAAGAAAATTCACCTTTTGTTTTTATATTCTATTTACAGCTCTCGAGTTATCTATGTCACTATGCTATGTTTCTCATAGAAAATCAAAGTCAAAAATTTCTCGAAACACTTTATGCAACATCATTTTTAACAAATGAAGAAGAATTCAAAAAATATTTTAAATTACAAATTAATCAATTTCCACAATCAATTTCATCGTATTACAAACGTTTCTTACAAATAATTAAATTAATTATATCTGGAAATAGTCTATTAACAGCATCAAAAACAAATTATGAATGGGATTTTATTAATATTACTGGTAATCAAATGCAATTGTCGCAGTTTTTAAATCTTATTCAATTAAAAACTAAATCAAAAATCTATAATAATAAAACATATTCTTGTAATACTTTATCTAAATTCTATCAATATCCTTTATATTATCCAGAATCAAGAATTCCAATTCCTGGATTTTATCTTAGTTGTTATTTTATTGATGGTCTTTTTAAATCAACTTTCGAATGTTTTTATAACATAACATGTCTTCAATTTTTACGAATTCAAATGAATTCTCCATATAATTTAGTTTCATGGAAATTAAATTTATCATCAAATTCATTTCATTATCAAATAAATTCAACAGTTAAAGAATTATTTGATATATTATTTGTTGAAGAATGGTTTAATGAAACGAATTATCAATTATATTATGAACAATGTCAACCAAAAGAATGTTTTTATACATTTGTAACAAAATTTCAATTTCGCTATATAATAACAACAATAGTTAATATTATCAATGGTTTATCAAAATCATTATTTATATTAATTCCTTTTTTAGTTAAAATATGTTTTATATTATGGAAATATTTTAAAAAAAGAAAATATATTCGACAATTGAAAAGAAATAATCGAATCAAACCTACATCACCATCATTATCGACATAACATTTTCATTTTACAATGCTTTATATGTTCTATTTTATTATATTATCAGTTTCAATTCATCTATTTTTCTTATTAAAATAAATAAATAACGCTCGTCGAGACGGACTCGCATTACCCTCGACTGAAAATATTCATATGTAATAATCAATTTGCTATTGTTTTTTCATTTCATATAAGAGAAAATGTTTTCCAATATGAAG